ACTTCAAGTAGCAAAATGGGAAGACAAAAAAAAAAATACAATAATGGTAACTAGTGACATCATAAGTTGAAAACACTCTCCAGAATCCAACCACAAAATCATGGAAAATTATATCTCCTGAGTAAAGAGTTAAGATTGGTTATAATAAGGAAACCCAAAAAGATAGAAGAAAATTCAGAAAGGAAGTCAAAGTAATGCAAGAGAATTCAGAAAAGCTATATACATATGCACATGTATATGCACGTGTATACACAGTTATATGTGTGTATGCGTGTGTGTATGTGTGGATATACATTAAATTATGTATATCCATATGAGCTTACTAACTTCCCTAGACTGTTGATGGAAAATAACATACACACATCTATTGTGGAAACAGGTATTTTACAGTAAATCCAGACAATTATAGGAGATATATGGCAGAAATTTGGTTTTGGTACTCTTCAAGTACTAAGTGACAACAAAAGGGAAAACACACTTATCTATTTTACTGAATATGCTCCTTTTAAAAGCATCAGTGGTGGGATCTCCATTAACCGAGGATACAGGACAAGATGAGTAAGGAGAAGACAAGGCAGAAAGACAGCAAAAGAATCTGGCAACTAAAGGTATGTTCACAAATCATGGATACCACATTAAATGCTTAGAGAAAGAGACTTTATGGGTATTATATTTGTGGGTGGAGTGCAAATATAAAAAAACTGCCTATATCATATGTTTGATGTATTTATTTCACAATGGTCAAAGCAGTTAATTTAGGATTCAAATACCTAATATTGCTCTGTAAGTGGTAACAAATAGAAAATTTCTGTTGCACAACCCACACTCATATTTCTTCAAAGGATATTCTGAAAATATGGTTACAAACCTGGAAATAATTCTATCATTTATAAGGTTCAGAGATACATTGTTAGAATTATAGACTTTAAACAATAAGTGCAATAAAGTAAGCATTTACAAATATGTAGGGATGAGATGCTTTCCCAAAGATAACAGAATCACTCTGAGTAATAGACATTTGGTTGTCTTTGTGTTTGATACAGTGATGGAGCATGTCATGGTCACTGCAGTTTGAAAACTGACCTTCCCATCATTCTCATTTTGTGGGTTTAGGTCAGACACCCATATTCTGACTTGGTTGATGTGGAGGCTGGTGTTTTACTATATTTTTAGAATATTTAGTCTATTTAGAAAGTTTACATAATTTTGGTTACAGTGACTAAAGTGACAAGGACTAAAAATAAGGTTGACTTTTACAAAAACAAACTCTTAGTGTTAGAAGATGGCAGTGTATTATCAGTGTTTAGTCAAAATCCTTCAGATTATGAGTCTGGTACTTAAGATTGCAACTTGGGGTGCTCAGGAATGTGAGAAAATACTTTGTTGTTTGTAGAAACAGAATGTTTCTGAAAGACGAAATAAAAAATGCCTGCTTTATCATGCTGCTTAGTCTAAGGTAGAGAAGGCAGATGAGTTTCATTTATTTTGCCAACTCCGAAGAATTGATAGTGGCTGCTTAGAGCACTCTGTATAAAATAAGAGACCAGAAACAACAAGTGTTGGTGAGAGTGTGGAGAAGAAAGGAACACTCATGTACTGTTGAAAGGAATGTCCAACCCCTATAGAAAATAGTAAGAAGGTTTCTCAAAACATTAAAAATAGAGCTGCCATACAATTCAGCAATTCCTCTCCTAGATATCTAACTGAAGGATGTAAAATCACTAACACACATTTCTATGTTCATTGCAACACTATTTACAAAAGTCAAATTGTGGCAACAACCTAAGTGTCCAGCAAGATGAGAGGATTAAAAAAGTGTGATAGAATACTACTCATATAAGAAATATGAGATGTTGCTATTTGTGTGTAACAGCATGGGTGGCCTTGGAGGAGATTTTGCTATGCAAAACAGTCAGAAGGAGAGAAAGACAAATACTGTATGATTTCACTTGTATGTAAAATATAAAGAAACAAAACAAAGGAACAGACAAAAACAAACCCTTGAAATGTGACTATACAACTAAGGTTACCAAAAGAGGATTGTGGAATGTATGGGAGCTATGTGAGGATGGGGCCTAGTGGACTATGTTGGAGGATTATTGGGATTCTTGTGGTGTGTGTGTTGTACTAACATACATTTGTAGACGTGAGCCTATAGTCCCAACACATATACTGTATTGTAAAACAATGATTATTTAGTAAACATAATTTAAAAAATTAATTGCGATAGAAATTTTCTATCCTCTAGAAGAAATGCTAATGTTAGTATAACTGTCAAGCATTGAGTATGAGAAGAGAGGAAGGAAATGTGAACATATATAATATTTCTAGACTAGTGGAAGTGAAAGGGATATGATCAAATACTCCACTTCTAGTTTATAACGTACTTCAAATCTACTAAATAAGAAATTCACTGTGCACTGATTTTTTATAAAATAGAATGACAAAATTTATTACACATAAACATAAATATATAAAATTTACTTTCATAAAAAATTTTACTTTCATAGCTTCTGCATGTGTGTGTGCTTCTTAAGCATAGTGAAAAAATTCAGGTTTTTGTTTAAGAATTGTGGTAGAAAAATCTAGTCAAAATGAAACCATATTTGCCTAAATAGTTAAATAATGTTATGAATTCTTTTAAAATGTGAATTTAGTGAGGATTAAAATCACTGGAAGAGTATAAAGAAGTATACACAGATGAGCAAAATGCATGTATGGTGATCTGAGAGCTAGCTTGCCTGGCTGAACTTGCATAACATATTAGGGTGATATAGATTTTTCTACATTTCTCATTTTATTATAAATGTTTTAAAAGATGTATATTCATATTGTAAAAGATAGCTGCTCAGATTTTTGCTTCAAAAATGAAAGTTTTAATGTTTCACATTGTTCTATAGGGTTTCTTTATATATTTCACAAATACTAATTCTTTGTAACTACATAAATTCAAATATATTTTTCTAATTTTCTAATTACATTTTCACTTTGTTTTTAGTGACTTTTGATGATGAGTTCTTAATTATAATCAAACTTATCAATTTTCCCTATGGTTTATGTTTTTTGTGTCATTTTTAGGAAATCTTTCCCTAACCTGATATAAGTGTTCTCTTATGTTACCATGTAAAAGTTCTGCATTTTTATCTTTCATATTTAAATCTTTAGTCCAATTGGATTTTATTTTTGTATAAACTAAAAGATAATGAATTCTCGTAACACAATTACTAAACAGTCTAACTTTCCTTCAAGGGTCTCTAAGAACCACTCTTGTGATTCAAGTTTTCATGTTTGTTTGAGTTTGTGTTCTCTATTCTTCTCCATCATTGATTTTTTCTGCTTCTGTAGCAAAATTTTGCCACTTATTTCCTACATCTTAATAATAAATATTGACATCTGATAGTCCAACCATCCTAATACCACCACCAATTTCCCAATTTTGTTTTTCTTTAGAAAGCTGTACTAATTCTCTCTAGCAAAGATATTTCATCCAGCACAGAAACTGATGGGGGGTACCCCTTGGTTAGGTTTATAGTGCACTGCTATCATCTACCATGATATCTAGTTTTTGTAGGGTCATACAGGTTAATTAAGTGACATGTGATGGAAGTCACCACTCTGGCACATTTTAAAACTTTATGGGTGGTATTCATCTTTGGCATCTACCCTTCACTCTAAGGTGCAGTATTATTTATAATTTACTATTTTGGCCAATGGAAAGAGAGAAGTTTCAGAGACTTCAACCCAGTTTACCCTGCTGTGATAACTTATTCTACAGATCAAGAAAGAAAAGTGAGGGTTATACTAACTACCAAATATATTGTTTGTATGTAAAATTCAGGACTAAGAGAAATGACTATGGATTAGATCCACGAACTCAGTGGACACTCCATGAGCTGAAACTCAGTAGAGATTCTTATTATTACTTCTACATGCCCGCATCCTAAATGGAATACCATTGGCCACTTCATGTCAAGCCAGTCCATGTGCCCATCAGTCCTTAACATGTTTGAATTTTTCCTTTTCCCAATGATAAATGACTATTACATCCTTTGAGGAAGGACTAGGAAAATCACCACAGGTGATATTATAGGATTCGGTCTGGCTGTGAGCCAAGTAGGTCTGAATCAGAAAAGTACCCTTTCTCAGGCTTCTTGGATTTCCTCTCAACTTATTTAGGTCATTCCTGAAGATTTTTATCTAGATTTCATAATTTGCTTCATTCAAGGTTTACATGGCTTTTCATAGAATCATTCCTAAGTATTTTTAAATTATTAGTTTCTCACAAAAAATTCCTTTAAAAACATGCTATAACTGCTTTTTCCTTAAATAGAAATACAACTTCCTTTTATATCAAAAATTGTCAAACTTTATTAAAAATCTTAACTTTTTTATAATTTCTTTTAAATTTTCTATATTAAGATGAAAGTGATATCAATTGCACAAAAAAAGATACTTTTGCCTCCTTATTGCTCCTATTTCTATTTTTCCAGCTATATTACATTGGCTAGATCCCACAGTGTATGGTTGAAGAAAAGTGATGGTAGCAGGTATCTTTATCTATTTCTAATCTTAAAGAAACTCCCTTCAATCTTACATTTTTATGTTTGATGTTTGTTGTACATTTTTTGTTTGTGTGTTCTTAACCAGATTAATAATCATCTCCTTTTAATAATATAAACTATAGTAGGTGATTTTCAATTATTAAACCAACATTTCATTCCTTGCATAAACAGTTTTTCTCTTGAGGTAGCATTGGTTTACAGCATTGTGTGTGATTCAGAGGTATAGCATCGCACCCTTCAGGTGTGGGTAACCACGTCACACTCACTAAGGAACACATAGTCCTCCACCATAGCCCATTGTGCCTCCTCTGCACTTTGCTCTCTCCACTTTCTCCCCCTCTGATAGCCTTAATTCTACAGTTGGATTTCTAGGGGATTGTTATTAGTTTGGTTTCATGCGTCCCTTTGTTTTGTTTCTCTATACTCCACATACAAGTGAAAAATATGCAACACTTCATAAATTTGCATGCAGTCCTTGGGCAAGGGCCATGCTAATGTCTGCATCATTTCAATTTTAGTGTATGTGCTGCTGAAGTGGGATAAACTTACTTAGTCATGATGTATTAATTTCTTATATGTTACTATATACAGATAATATTTTATTGAAGTGCTAATATTTTTCATTTGTGTTCAAAAGTGTGTTTGTAATATATATTTTATTTATTCTAAGTTTGAACATCAAAGAGCTGAACTAATAAAATAAGATGTATTCTCTATTTCTCTATTCTCCTGGAAGAGTTTTGCACAAAAATGAAATTATTATTCCCTTAAATATGTGTTATAACTATTCTGTAAAGTTCTCTGGGTCTAATATTTCCACCATGGGAAAATTTTATTGACTTTGAATTATCTTTATGCAAAGAAAATATCTTGGTATTTACTTATACATTAATTCACTGGCAGGTGAATCACAATACCTTTACTTTTCCAATTTAAAACAGCATTATTATCTTTGAGAAAACATATACTTAATTTTCAACAACAGTGACTGGAAAATAAGAATATTTCTGTTTTTATGGCAGTGTTCCTGGTAGCTCATTAGAAACAATTCAAATTAGATGTAAGTAACAAAAATAAATTTCAGTGTTGTCTACATATTTTGTAGATCTAGACTTAGAAAGTAGTGATATTAAGGTAGTAACACATTTATTGAATGACAAAACTAGTTTAGCATTAATACTGATTGTCTGTCTGACCAGTTTTCATAATTCTTACAAATGGTAGAGTAGATGAATGGAGGTGAGGGTCTGTAATAGAAAACTCTGAGGAAGAAATGTGCAGTCAGTTGCTTCCTCATTCCAATTTTATTACCCAGCATTGCCTTCAGAATGCTTTAATCTTTTGCTGTGAAAAGAAATGCAAACTTGGGCCTCCCCGGTGGCGCAGCGGTTGAGTGCTTGGTTGCGAAGCTGCTCGCAGCCTCTGCAGCGCCGGTTCGATCCCCAGCTGCTCCCCAGCCACCGGAGGAGGGTCCCACATGGCGCACAGACCTCTCCTGCCCCACTGCTCCCCTCAGCAGTGTACTTCAGTCCTTCTGCCTGCTCTGCTCCTGGCTCTGGCTCTGGTGAATTCTCTCACCCTCCCGCGCTTCTGACTGTACCCAGTGCTTGTATGAATAAATAAATAATAAATAAAATAAAATAAATCTTAAAAAAAAAAAGCAAACTTAATCTACAGACAACCCAAAGTAAACTTTAATCCAGAATGGTAACTCTTTAGGAAGAAATGTTAATAACTACCAAGAAGTTATCCGGTCAGTGGCTTTAGTAATTTTAGATTCTAGGAAACTCATCAGGGTTCCATATTGCATTGATATAAGCATTAAATGATAGGTATGGCTAATTTGTTTTGGGGTCAAGGTCCAAGAAGTGCTGCCATTTATTGCTGAATTGCCTTATTTGCTTTTTTTTAAATAACCTGCCTGTTACCCCTTAGAGGATGTCTTAACCAATTGGGAACCTAAAAGTTTTTGAAAAAATGTTACTCAAAAATCTCTAAATGTATTAGGAGAAAAGTTTGTGTAACATCCTCTGGATTCCTAGATGCAATGTGATAGGAAACGTATTTTTGTGATTTTCTTTTTTAATTGCTTTGCCTTATAATGAACTTTCCATAATTACCCATTATGTAGGAGAATATTAGGATGGTTGTGATGAATTTTCATAGAAAACATTACCCAGTTTGTTGACTTCTAAAACAATCTTCTAAAACTGCCTGAAATAATATTTAATCATAAGCAATAGCTAAGAGGATGAATAGAGTGGAAAGGAATGGAATGGAAATGGAAGTGGAAATTAAATGAAATGGAACAAGAGGATGGAGGCAGGCAGGATGTAGGCCTGTGAGAGACCTTTTGGACCTGGAGGAAAGGAGCAGAATCAGTATCTAAATTTTGCTCAGCCTTTGCTCTGCATGCAGCACCGTGGAACCTTTAGTGAGCTGAGCCAGTGATGCCCAGGGACTAGCCCTTGCCTGCAGATGAACATCCACTGCAGGTGCCTGTTATTGTCTAGCAGGAGAGTATCTTGATTTGTCCTAAAACTGTCAGCATGTTTAAGTCATCCAACCTGTAGGCCCAGGCTTCTTCTAAGGTACCAGAACACCCAAGAAAATATCAGTGATATGAGATGGTTTGGATGGTGTTATCCAGATCCATATTAAATACTATAAATTAACCCTCCACCTTCCCCTCTCCATACACCAGAAGAGGCAGTGTTGGCATTTTTGACCATGCCAAAGGAATCATAATACCACCATTAAAGGCCAGAGACATCCCTTTATCTCTCTATTTTCCAGATACCAAAACTATGTTGGGAATTAACTGTCAAAAAAATAGCTAATGAATTGGAATAAAAAAGAGTGCCAAAATATCTAAACTGGAGAGAAAATATAACTTATCAGCAACAGCATTATTTATTAAGAATACACATCTTGAAACCAGAATCAACAATTTTCTAGGTTTATTCAACAAGCTACTCAACAGAGCCTCTGTTTTCTCTTTGTGAAGTAAAGATAACATCTTACTCAAAATTCACAAGACCTAAATGGGACAATACATAGATTCATCACACATATAATCAAACAATAAACCTGTTTGATTTTCATTTGTTACATCAGTCTCATTTATTAGTACAACTTTCACCCAAATTTATTGGGCACATATTACCTTTTGCTGCTGTAAATTGATTCCAAATGGACAAAATTCCAAGAGACCAACAATTAGAAGATACCTTAGTGTTCCTGGAACCCCTGTATTCACATTGCCACTGGTAACTTTCCATCACAGGAGAAGTAAGGTAGGAGACAGTGGTAATCAACTGTTGGTCACAGAGCCAGGAGATGCCTATATTAAAAATATGCAGAAGATGTCTTTAGACCCAGGATAGCTATAAATCATCTTAGTCTCAAGTTTGAGGTGTGTATGTAAATGAGATTTTATTTAAAATATTTTGTGCAAAATATTTTATTTACATGCATGATTTAAAAAAATTTATTATTTTACATGATGAAGGTCAGTGTTTGAACATGTCACTCAATATACATTAGGTACACTGTACAATGTACATTATGTACATTGACCAGGAAGTAGAAACCACAAAAATAACCTTTATCTTTGGAATCTTATAATACAGAAGGAGACACTTACCCAGTGCTTTGCAAATGTGCAGCCAGCACTGGAAAATATAAAGTAAGGAGGTTTAAATCATTTAAACCTTTGATTATTTATTTGATTATTGATTCTACATGACATTCATCTTAAATCCAAATTAACATTTATAAAAAGTCCAATCTCTAAATGTCCTTTCCTTAGTATCTTTTCAAGGTGAAAAGTTATAAAGGTAAAAAGAAAACTTATAAGGAAGAGCAACCATGGCAGAGAAAACAGATCTCAGGCCTGCATCTATAATTTATTTACCATGTGGCTGGTCAAACCACAGCTATGAGGGGAGAGGCAAAGAGGAAGAATGCTCTAATTTTACCAGAGCTAAAATCGTGAAAGTGTCTCCTTCTGAGGAAAAAAAAAAAGTAGGAAAGGAAGGAGGAAAGGGTGT